AAGAAGACCTGCATGCGCGCTTGCATAAACGTTTGAGCCTCATAAGTAATAAAAAGAGCGATGAATATTAACTCCATACTTCATTTATCACACATACATGATCCACAAAATAACAAATTTCTTTCCCGCGTTGTCCAACGTGAATTTAGCTACTTCTTCGTGTGAATCAAATGGATGTTCGCTCCGTCGAGTTCAACGCACGTTTTGTATTAAAGATACTACAGAAGTCATTTGTTTGTCCTGCTACATCAGTTGACTTAATCTTCCTTGATTTAGACTCTATTTTTTGACACAGATGCAAGTCTTTTTCACAAAATTGCCGCAGTAGCCTGCCTTCGCCCGAAGCCCCTACAGTGACGGTGGCAGACATCTTGCCGGAAGGGGCAGTAGTAGCCACTGCGACGTGTCAATCAAAGAAGAGGAATTGTTTCATGAATGGGTTATGATTCTCTTGTGTTGTTTGAAAAGTCGGGGAAGAAATGTTTTACATCAACTCTACTAGAACGTTTGTTCTCTACAAATATTAGAGTTTTTTTTTGAAGAATATTAATAATATACCACCAGCACTTTTAGCTATAAACACTCATTGGTTTTGTTTTTGTTGTTGTTGTTGTAACTATAACATGTATGTCCCTCGTGTAATTATCCTAAAGGAATTAAAAATATTATTTAGTTAATTAAATATATAACTTATAATTTAACTAGCAATTTCAATATTTCCTTGATTTGTTGTACCAAAATACCGGGCGGGGGTAAATATCGTTACAAGCTGAATAATGACTCTTGAATAAATTACGACGAAAGAATTTCGCTCTTTCAACAGACTCATATTAAAGACACAGCCCACATAATCTCATTCGCAAAGTTATTTCCTTTTTTTTTATTTTTATAGCTATATCTACGAACTCGAACGTGCTCTTTTTCTCCTCCTTCGTCAGTTTCAGCCAGAGATGTTCCGTTCAGACCTTCAAGAAGAAAATGTGCGGATGACAAAGTTATCTTCATAAACAACCACATTTTCTTCACTTCTTTTTTTTTTTTTTTACTATCAATAATATTTGAGACGCCATTACCTACCAGCGATCAGCAAAAACGCAAGCGAGACGGCAATGGCCTTCATGATTCCAGGCAGATACCGGAGCTTCAGTGCCAGCATTATTCACTGTAACAATTAGAACAGTAGAACTGATGTTGCCATAAAAACAATAATAGAAAAGGATGGGAAAGGGTTCAGGCACTGGACTAATGTTGCGTCAAACAGAACAGGAAAATAAAAAAACGACGACGACGACGAGTCCGGTAGGACCATTGTCTACATTTCTGTAGAGGTAAATAACAATTGTATATATATATCTGCCACCGATTCTGCCGCAACCCCTCGTTCTTCAACGAGGGGCAGCTGTCCTCGGTCTTGAAGCAGTTCCCCCTTCTCCGACCAACGGGGATTAAGGAAAATGAGCCATCTAAACGCACCGCCACAAGCATGCAGCGCAGACCAATCAGCCGAATCATCCAACATCTCTGAGTGCTCCCTTGATAACGTCATGAAGGAGTCTGATGACGAAGGCGGATGGATCACCAAAGTGGCAAAGAAACGACGCCACGGATCCAATTCGAGTGAGGCGACGATCATTAGTCAGCCGACTCACAACCTTGTAATCATATTCAAACCTACTAATCCGACCACAATCATCACTAACATGAATCCTCTGGCTTTGAAACAGATGCTGGAAAACCTGGCACCAGACAGAGTAATCCAAATTCGACCAAATTATCGCCTTAATCTATTGGCGATAGATGCAAGAAATATAGAATCAACGAAGTCTCTTCTTCAACTGAAGAAGCTGGGCACAATCCAAGTTCAGACGTATGAGCCAGCACCCCCATCTTCCAATGTTGGAAGACACAAGACTTGTTCTGTAACAAACTGGGATGCCTTGCGAGTGTACTTCGAAGATATAATATCTACTGGTACCACTGATCACACGACCGCCATCTCTCAGGCGCTCTGCAAAGCGACACGGAGAGTTACGGTTCCTATATATAGACCGAACCCAGACCTAATATACTTAAGGTTCCACGCCTCGCGCCGCAAAGCACAACGACGTGCCTTGAAAACATCAAGACAAGAGGATATACAACGGTATCGAAGGATTGATGCAGCATTTTGTAGGCATACCAAGCGCTTACAACGGAAACCATGGCGACAGCGATGTGAGACCCTTCACTCTCCCGGTGGCGGAAGGCAAGCATGGCGAATGGCTCGCATCCTGGCGGGTCATGCTGTTCCCCGCTCACCGGTCCTTGGCCTTGTTATCGCGCAGAACATCACGTTGCCTCAAGCCGCGGAACTCCTTGCTGATGAATTCACCTCTGCTCCCGCTCCGCCACCGGGATTTGTCGCAGGTGCGCTGCTACCAGCACGCCAGCGCAGGTTGCCGGCAACTCCGATTTCACGCTGAGTGAATTACAGCATGCTCTTCAGCGTTCTTCTCGGAAACGCACCGCACCAGGCCCAGATGGGATAACTTTTCAAGCGCTTCGTAACCTTGACGATACGACGCTTCCTGGCCTTCTGGACTACTTAAATCATATTTGGCGCTCGTCCGATATTCCTCCTGCCTGGCTCCGATCTGAGGTTGTTCCCATTCGTAAACCAGGAAAACCGATAGGTGCCACCAGCTCCTACAGACCGATATCTCTTACGTGTTGTCTAGGGAAGGTGATGGAGCGAATGGTCCTGCGGCGCCTTGACTGGCAGCTCGAGACATCGGGCGCCCTGCCTAAGCAGCTGTCTGGCTTCCGCAAACAACGTTGTACGACAGACGCGATCGGCAGCCTCGTATCAGAGATGGAACAATCGAAGGCAACAAGGCAAGCAACAACAGCAATATTTCTCGATATTAAGAAAGCATTCGATGCAATTCCACATGAAACCATTATTGCTCAGCTTAATTACAAGGCTCGGGGTTGCAGGCCGAGCTCTGGCATTCGTACGCGCCATTTCTTACAGGAAGGTCTATGCACGTACGCCTAGGTGGAATTTGAAGTTCTCAACGTACGATAACCCAAGGCGTTCCCCAGGGCAGTGTTATAAGCCCTCTCTTATTTAACGCTGCTATGGCGGCACTGCCTGAGGCTCTCCGGCGTATGAAGTCATCGGGACCAGTCATTAACATCACTATATACGCTGACGACGTGGCCCTTCGGACTACCGCCCCGACTAAGATATATAGCAAGATGCAACAAACCCTGCAGGACGGATTGACTATAGTTGTAGACGAGATCTCTAGACTAGGCCTTACGCTTTCCGCCTCCAAAACCGCTGCCCTTCAATATCATCGAACGGCTAGAGCATCGATCAACAGAATCTACACAATTAACGGAACAGACGTAGCACGTGTCCGGACGTACTCCTACCTCGGGTTTCTTCTGGATGACCGCATCTCCTGGAAGCCTGCAGTCAAGGCAACACTGATCAGATGTCGTCGCCACCTCAACGCCGTTCGAATGATGATGGGCAGCAGGTGGGGAACGTCTCAGGTCATGATGCTACAGCTATACAGAGGCCTCATTCTTTCGAGATTATTATACGCCTTGCCGCTGATTCACGTGAGCAATGCACAGTCTGCAACCATTGAGACCCTGCAAAGGATTGCACTTCGCTTCTGTCTGGGTTTACCGAGATACTCCGCGAACATTCCAACGCTGGTTGAAGCAAGGGTCAACCTTGTCGAGAACCACGGCAGAGAGCTGACACTTCGCCACATCGCAAGGCAAACCTCCTGCCGGTCAACAGGGCCCCTCTTAAACCATATTCGAAGTTGCCCTCAATCTCGCCTTGAATCTCTCGCTAGAGACTTTGAAGAAATTGTGGGTACCTTAAATACTATCTACCCGGCACCACCACCTTACGCCTCGCCGCTGAACATCAGTGAATCTATTCCGGAACTCAGAAGCAAACGCTTCACAGCCCAAGTTGTCGCTCGGACCCTCGCAGAATACCGAATTGAGGTGGATTTTCTAGGATGGATGCGTGTATATACCGACGGCTCGGTACTTCATAGCCGCAAATCATCCACTGCAGCAGTTTATATACGGGAACTAAAAATGGCCAAATCAAGGAAACTGAGCTTTCACACTACATCTACCACTGCCGAACTTACCGCGCTTTGGCTAGGACTTGACATCCTCGACAGTATCCCTCACAGTAAAAAGGCAGTGTTCCTCACAGATTCCAGAATAGCTTTACAACTCCTTGGCAGCCTTGAAGACGCCCCACAATATGCCAGATACATTGGACACATGACAAGAAACTTATGACACAATTCATAGATGTGACTTGTTGTGAAGTCGAGCTTCAACTTGCTCAAGTCCGTCTTGCGACGAGCAAGCGCGCTTCATAAACGCATCTTAACTTGAACCGATCTTGAACGGAGCTTGAAGCGAACTTGAAGTGCCCAAATTTCAAGACTGGGTTGGACCTATCTTGAACGCGACTTCGTAGTCGTTTCAACATGGCGGCTTGGCGAAGCGACGTCGCCGAGAGGATCTCCGCCTTCGAATTCGCAACTCGCGCGTGCGATGTCGTCTTCGGGGACGCGTTCCCTTTGCCACGAGTCCCGCGACCATCAATTCGGGATAGGGAGAACCCAATGGAGCGCTACAACGACGGGCAGTTCCTGGCGCGGTACCGCTTTACGAAGGGAACCGTGCGAGAGCTGCTCGGGATGCTGCCGCTACAAACGAGCACCGACTGCAGAGGCCTTCCGCTGACCCCCATGCTGCAACTGCTGGTCACGCTGCGGTTTTATGGTGCCGGGACCTTCCAGGTTGTGACTGGGGACCTCGTGAACGTGTCCCAACCGACAGTGTGCCGCGCGGTCGGAGTAGTTACGAGGCACTTGTTCCGGGACCTCGTTCACTTTCCCAGCGCCGCCCAATTCAACACGGTGATGCTCGATTTCTTCGCACTTGCGAAATTCCCCAGCGTCACCGGGTGCATCGACTGCACCCACGTGCGAATCAAGAGCCCCGGCGGCGACGACGCGGAGGTGTTCCGCAACCGCAAGGGAGTGTTCTCAATCAACGTCCAGGTAACGAGTGCAGAGTTCGCGGTTTACCGAATTTAGAGTTTAAAGAGCAACGTTTGCGCGATCGCGAGATGTTATTCATTGGAGTATGCGCTCATGTTTGACTGCATGAAATTTGGAAATTCTGCCCCAAGCATTGTAGTCAAAGCCCTCTCGTCTTTGCTTCGCTATATGCAGTGGTTGAACTGCTGCGCCAAACTGAGCCAGAATGAATAACCTGCTACATGTTGCTCTAAAGCGTCTGGCACATGACATGGTTGGCGATGCCACTGAAAATTAAGAAAGTACAGATTTTTTTTCCCCTTGATGCTATGTGCAAAAGTAGGGCTGCACGAATTCTATGTGCAAAAAGTAGGGCTGCGCGAATATTCTAATTTTCTAATAGTAGTTCAAATAATACGTTATTTGATATTCGCTTCCAAATGAACTGCAATATTCATACTTTTCGAAGCTTACAATGTTCATATTGACATTGTCAGAACACATCACTTGAGCAGTTTTTGTAATGAAAATATTTGTCGAGTATTACGACAGCTTCATTCGATGGGACCATTGCCACTAATTTTTCTTACTCATGTCTCCATGTTTCATTTCAACGCAATCTACTTGCAGGCTGTCACCGGCCCCCAGCTGCAATTTTACGATGTGGTTGTGAGCTGGCCCGGGTCGGTACACGACAGCCGGATATTTGACAACTCCCGTGTGCGGGTGCTGTACGAGGAACGCCGGGTACCAGGGGTGCTGCTTAAGGACATGGGCTACGCCTCCTTCTTCTTCCTGATGACCCCCCTGGCAGATCCCGGTCCAGCTAACACACCACGAGGCAGGCAAGTAAATTCTACAAGTGCCTGAGCAAATGTAGGGCTATGTGTGGAGACAAGGAAAATACATAATGACAAATACACAGCGCAAAAGGACAAAAAGGGAAGAGACACACCGGATAGAACAGCGCTCTGTTCTATCCGGTGTGTCTCTTCCCTTTTTGTCCTTTTGCGCTGTGTATTTGTCATTATGTATAACCAGAATCAACTAGCCCAACTTTCTACTTTATTAAAGACAAGGAAACCATTATATACAAACGTGGAACAGTAGTAAGACTACTGAACTTGTGCGCTAGTTGCGATGGTTAAATAATGTATGAACAAAATAAGTAAGATACTGGGTGTGACAACGTTAGCCCCGAAAATATCTGCCCTTATTGAGGATTATAGTCACTGACACAATGAGAACTGCAGGGAGTCTTTCTGCCCTGCCTCCAGAGCACGCTCAATGCCTTCTCGCATGCTTTGGCTGCACATGCATGCACGAAGTGCACAAGATGACAATGTGTTACCGAATGTATGATGCTGATGCTGGAGGCGGGACAAGTGAAGCTTCTCCTGCTTGTCATTGTCTGCGGCTAGTGCGTTGTGCTGGAGCATTTTGAAATCGAGCTACTCGGGAGAAAGATATGAAAGGGATCTACAGGCAATATTATAGTTTAATTAGCCACTCATGATATTCCCTCACATGATCAGGTACCAGAAGGCCCACATCAAGACGAGAAACTCTGTCGAAAGGGCCTTTGGCGTCTGGACGCGGCGCTTCCCCTGCCTCGACATGAGGCTGCAGCACAAGCCACGTCGGGCCGTGCAGATCATCACAGCCTGCGCTGCACTCCACAACCTGGCCTGCCTGAGAAAGGACCCACAGCCTCCACCTCCCCCAGCTCCGCCAGTTGTGCCTAGGGCACGGAGACCCAGGAGGAGGGCCACACGGCCAGTCCACCTGCCACCCGCCGTGGACACCGTGGAGGACTCCCTCACGGGCATACAGAAACGGGAGCAAATCATCGAAAGAAGCTTCAAGTAGAAACTTCTTTCGAAGTGGAAGCTCCCTTCTGCAATGACTGATCGAGCTTTGCCTTAAAGGGGCGGTGGAACAATATTCAGTTATAATGTTTTTCACTTTACACAAGCTTACTGGCACTAGAGGAACCCTAGTATACTTAAATGCAATGCCGCTGACCAAGAAACATTTTTTGTTGCAGTGTAATTTCAGATAAAAGCAACCATTTTCTTTCAATCACTCCTACACAAACGCTCAGGGGTCGCATTGTCGGTGTAGTCCCGCCTCAGAGTGACAATATTTGAATGCGGCTCACAGATTGGACCTTATAGTATTGCGTGAGCACTCGATTTGGGCATGTGATAACAGCTTGGCAATCATTCAGGTAGTGCTGCAACGATGACAATAGCCAAACCAACAATGTTTGCGATTCGGCGCGTGTCCTGTACTATGATTAACATTGGTGCCATATAATCGTCTCCAAATCACTTGGCCACTTTTTCTGGCTGCAAGTTAAAGGGGGAAACTCTGCCATTTATTTCATTTTTTTCTTCGGCGTTTTTTATTGCACGGGTTTAAAAACACAAGCGTGTTTCATAGCTCATAAACTTTGGGGATTTGTTTTACGCAGTATCTGCACGAAGTACGAAAAATTGTTCCATCGCCCCTTTAAAGCTTTTGTCGTGAAAGCGGCTTTTTTTCATTGTACTGGAGTAAATAGCACGCGTCCAATGAAACTGTCCTATAAGCATCGTCTGGAGGTATGTTCATATGTTAATAAGTTTTTTTTTTGCGTGTGTATTTCGCAAATGCCTTTACTGTTTTTTCTATTGCTGTTTATTCACCAATAAAAATGTGAAAATATTGCCAAACCCTTTGTTGTAGTGACTGTGCAGTGGCTTTTTACTAGTCCAAATGATAATAGATGAAGGGCAGGAGCCATTATGGAATTATGCATTTTCTCAAAGCATGCCTAATGTGAAACAAGCTGAAATCGCACCCTATCCTTTTCTGGATATAGCCCCAGCTTTCAAATTCTGTGAAATAAATTAGATCCCTTCAAAAGTCGAGGCATTGGCACTTTTTTTTTATTTTTCGCCTCCCTGCTGAAGCTCCCTGAGCTTCCACTCCGCAATTTTTAAGTTCGTCTGCTCCACCTGGAGCCGCACGCGGTGCTCTGCCACCTTCATCTGGTGCTCTGCCACCTTCATCTGCTGCTCCTCTTCAAGGAGCTTGATTCGAATGGCAGATTCTGCCCTCAGCAGAGAACTTCGTACGTCGTTCTCTGCTGAGAGAGCCTGCTCTAGGAGCACCATTCTCCCTCTGGCCGGCCTGCCTTCATCCTGAGTCGCCGCCACCCTGTCGCTGCTGCAGCTTGAAGCAGCTGCAGGAGCAGGTACGGTCTGCTCGGTGGGGGGACCCGGGTCTGCTCCTGTAGCTGCTGTGACACTGGCACTTGCCTCTGGATCGGCGACGTCCATAGAAGGGCTGCCAGGTAGGTAGTTGTCCCCTGTCACAAGATGGGTAAACCGATATCTGGATTACAAGCCGTTAGCACGAGGTACAATGTTTATAAATTGCACGGCATGAAATGCACTGCAGGTCACATTGCCCCTGGTTGTACCGTTACGACTGCTGCACTCGGGCGACGTCTAGATCTCCTCAGGCCTCTCGAAGGTTGTCAGAGAAGCTAGCTGTAGTCGCATTTCGCATTCCCGGAGACTTATCTTTTTTGCTTTGCAGAGTTCGAAAACGAAATCCCCTCTAAGTGAGATAGCGGCCCCAGAATCCAAAAGTGCAGCAAAAGGAAAACCGAGCAAAGTCATCGTCATGCACGGTTCAATGATGATAGGCTCGGGCTGGATTCGACATTCCGATGGAATCTGTGCTGCGGCCTCACTGCCGCAGCACCGGGACTGTAACGGCTTTCAGCCAGTGGCTGTTTGGTTTCAACGTTAGCGGCCGTGGTAGTTTCCCTGGATGTTCTGGTTCCAGCCCTTTGCTGCCGTCAGCTGTATCCAAATTAAACTGCGACAACTCGAACTGCAGGTCACGTTGCCCCTAGTTGTACCGTTACGACTGCTGCACTCGGGCGACGTCTAGATTTTCTCAAGCCTCTCGAAGGTCAGAGAAGCTAGCTGTAGTCGAATTTCGCATTCCCGGAGACTTATCTTTCTTGCTTTGCGGAGTTCGAAAACGAAATCCCCTCTAAGTGAGATAGCGGCCCCAGAATCCAAAAGTGCAGCAAAAGGAAAACTGAGCAAAGTGATCGTCATGCACGGTTCAATGATGATAGGCTCAGGCTGGATTCGACATTCCAATGGAATCTGTGCTGCGGCCTCACTGCCGCAGCACCGGGACTGTAACGGCTTTCAGCCAGTGGCTGTCTGGTTTCAGCGTTGGCGGCCGTGGTAGTTTCCCTGCTTGTTCTGGTTCCAGCCCCTTTCCCGCCGTCTCGTGCCACCTCTTGTTTGTAGTGTCCAGAAGTCTTGGACACTAGTTTCGTTGGTGGTCGGGCTGCTCGCACCTGTAGCAGCAGTCCGACAACAGTTGCCTGCTTAGGTCACCCACACCGAGGTGTCCGCCTCCAGTGATCTGGTAAAGAACCACTATGGGAAGGCCTCTACCAGGCTTGTGATTAGCTGTTGTGGGGAGGGCTTGTTCCGTTGCGGCGGGGGTCAATGCTGCTTTGCTGCGGGATTTCGACCGCAGCGTGCCAGTTTTCCCCAGCACTTGCAGGAGCACACTGATACAAATGGTTCGCTTGGGTAGTGATCTCCGTTGGGCCCCAACTTGCGATAGGGCACGGCCAACGACCTCCCACCTGTCGTGGCGACCCCCGCCCGAGATCCTCACAGGCACTGCTGTGACCTCCAGGGACCTCTCGATGAGAGTTAGTCGAACGCCATACATGTCACGCCAACTCTCCCGGTTGATGTGGTGGGGAGGAGAGGTCTCATTCGAACAGTCCACTTCCGTGGAGGCCTCGGGGCATGCTGGTTTGAGTGCGTACTTGGCTGGTGGCGGCAGCACGTAGTTCCGCTCAGCATGAAGAGCTTCCTCGATGAGGCAGGCGTGGTATCTTGGGTGGCACAGTCTTCTGACCCGAGCTACTCTGTCCGACTCCGGTGTATTCGGGTCCGCCCTCTTGAAGAGCTCTTGCATGACCTGAACGTACCGGTCCTGACTTTCGTCCAAGTGCTGCGGCCTTGCCTCGAGCTCTCGGAGAATCTGCGTTGCGTAGTCCACAGGCAGGAACTCTTCTCGAAGCCTTGTCTGGCTCGTGAACGGGGCCTGCAACCCCAACCAGCTTCTAGCACTGGCTTGCAACACCAGCGGGACAATGCGGTCCATGATGAAGGCTTACGAGGCACCGTAGGCAAGGTGGTACGTCTGCAACTCCCCCAAGAAGTCTGCCACGGACTTAACGTCGTCGTACCCCACGTAGACTGGTACAGTCAAGTGTGGTCGGGGCTCTTGCGGCGGGGTCTCCTGCTGGCCAGGCGTGAGGGCCATGCGCTGCATCACGAAGTTGCATATCACCGCGACCTTTTGAGCAGGTTCATTTGTGCCGCTGCGGCCACTGCAGCTTCCTGCTCCCGTGTGAGCATGGCTGCAAGCACAGAAAAAGAAACGCCGCCCAGAAACCAACACAAGCGTGCGAAACCATTGCCGCAGTCACAAAACGAACGGTCAAAAACAAACCAATACAACAAACGCGGACGTGACCGAAGCACGGGACGGTAGGAAACACGGGGAGTGGAAAAAGGCTTACCAAAAGAAGAAACCAAGCCTCGTGAAATTTCTGCGAGTGAGTAGCATACCACGCTTGGGCGCCATTGTCGCCGGTTAATTTGTGCAACATTAAAACAAAGCTATAGAATGGATTCTGTGTTACCAATCCCTTGTGAGGTGCACACTGTGACGGGGGGGGGGGAACCAAGGATGATAAGAACGACATACATGAAAACTGTGAGTTGGACTGAGCAAAAAACGAGAAAGAAGACGCAGTGAACGTGGTGAAGGTGTGAGTAACTAGAAGACGAAGGCAGCAAGGCCAAAGCAAGAGATGGATATAATGAAAAAGGAAGACGTGATGAGAGGAAGATGACACAGGCTTGTGATACGTGAAAAAAGGGCGGGCACGACAGGGAACCCGGCTAGACAGCAGTGGTCCTGGCAGCCAAGGAAGAGCCCGGACAGACAAATCCAGGCCCGTGGGGCTGTTAACCAAGCTTGCTGGGAAACATCCGCTTGTGCCAAGCGAGCCTGCCAACTCCATGCCAATGCCGACGTGCAACACCGTGCCGTAAGCGGATTTGCCGAACTGAACTTTGCTTATATATCTACACCGCTTTATTTCTTACTTTTTTTTCTTACGACTGTAAATATCTTCCGTCTTATCTTCACCGTTCTGGAATTCTGAGTCCCTTTATTTATATTTTTCCATCACACGCAACCTACAAGTGGCCTAAAGTGCAGATCGATGTGTCTCAACACTGTACCTGCATACTCGTACACTGGGTCGCAGTCGACCATGCCCTCCAGCAGCCGCACCACTGGCTCGTTCTGGACAGGGGGCAGATAGGCGGCTCCGTCGGAGTCGTTATCGTTGTCAAGGCGGGTGGCCATGTGCCCCGCTACTGCCCCCACAAGCACAGAAATTGCGCTCATGGGTGTGGGGGGCGGCCCCCCTCCTAAGGAACAATCGTGTATGTCAAGTCACTTGATTAAAGCAGTCGAGATATAGGCACATACTGAATATTCTAAAGAAACACTCCTGTACATAGACGAGGCTGGGACGTTTTAGCACGATACTTTTGTGACACGGGTAAAAAATAGAAAGGTAGGTTGATCAATAAGGCAATAACGCCGTAAGAGTAAACTGCAACAATGCCATATTATGCCCTTTCGCATACAAAACAACTATTTCCCCTATGGAAGATATGTCGACATCTGCTGTGTGCCTCAGTACAACATAGCTAAAGTGGATCTAAACGGGAGCGGGATAATCCACGGCACTCGGAACATTGCGCATATCACGATCTTTCTATATACTGAACTGAAGAAAATGCGGAATGACACACGCTGACAAAAAGGAAGCGCGGAGAGGTTTCCCAATATGATCTTTCGCCAATCGCAAATGCTAGGTTAGATCGATCACTCCGAGTAACATGAACGAGCAGGGACAGAACACTCACCTGTCTTGTGGGTCTTGCGCTTCTCGTCCGAGCGCTCGTTCTTCCACTTTTGTTTGAGGTTCCCCCAACACTTCTTGAGCTGATTAGAGTCCCGTGGACTAACGCCCGGTAAGCAGTTATACTCATTGCAGAGTTTCTCCCAGGTCTCGTTTTTGAGGTTCGAAGATACGGAGTCTGTCTTTTTGCATTCAATGATCGTTTTATGCTTGCCGACAAGCCCCGATAGAATAGAGATTTCATCAGCGGTGAAGCGCGGCGATTGTTTTTTTTTAGTGGCCATTCCACTGCTGCTCAAGGGTTGGGGGAATCTCAAAAGTTTTACCGTTTAACAGAAGAAAACTTGCACAGAAGGGAAGGCTGGAGCGTCCGGACGAGCGAAGAGCAGCGAAGAGCGTGCTTGGCGGCTATTTGGTATGTTGCTAGACGAAATCATCATTATGTCCAGAAAACGCGTACAATCGCTAAAATAATTAAACTTCCCATTACCATCTCTCGCGATTTATGTTTCGTAAACATATGCTATAAAAAAAATTTAGAGAAGTACCTTATTTTAAAGTCTGAAAGAACTTTTACGAGAAAAACTGCAGCCTACTCTCGCTCCCAGGCGAGGAGGGCCGCGACCGCTCGCGACTTGAACGGGACTTGACGAAGGAAGTTCGCGGGAACGTCTGTGAAACGTAAAACGCAGCTTGGGCGTTTTCAAGTCGAACTTGGTGTTAAGGCGGACTTGAGCAAGTCGAAGTTTGGCTTCAGTTCAAGTCACATCTATGAATTCGGGGGTTAGAGTCTAAAGGATGGCATATAGCATACCAATGGCTCCCATCACACGTCGGTATCTCGGGCAATGAGACAGCCGATCGTCTCGCTAATGCAGCTCACCACATTCATGTACCAACACTTGTTATACCAAAGATGTATGAGGCCAGAATTATTATTCACAAAGAAATAGAGAAACTACATCCGGACACGCGCGTCTCTATATACCGGGAAGCCACCCGCACGCGTGCCTCCGAAGCTGTCCCGAGCCTCCGCTTCTCTACTGCACAGACTTCCCACTGGTTGTGCCTTTACTGCGAAAGCCCTTCACCGTATGGACCCAACAATAAACCCAAACGGTCCATCCTGTGATGTTCCCGAGAACCAGGACCATCTCCTCTGGACCTGCCCTACTCTAGCGGACAAAAGAAAATCGTTTCTCGACGGCCTGCGGCAAGCAGGCGTAGCAAGTGCTACAACACAGGACATTCTTTTCCCCCCAGGCTCTGCACGCGATGTTTCGAGAACATTCGCCGCACTTCTCAAGTTCTTGGAGGACACCAGTTTATTTGACCGCCTCTAACCCCGGTGTCTGACATACACTGGGCGATGGCAACACATCAACGACCGAGTCACAAAAACTGCTGACCAATCGTTCCTTTTTTTTTTTTTTTTTGATCCCTTCTCATGCCATTTTTCCTCTGTTCTCTTTTCAATCCGTTCTTTTTCTTTCCTCTCTTCTTTCTTTAACTTTTTCTGATCTCCCCTTTCATCCCCTTCCCTTCGCCGGAACTAACTCGCCCCCACTAAAGGAGTGACCAACATGTTCCGACTTTCCGCTACCCTCACCACTAACTACTACTACTACTCAAACAGAACAGGCGAAAACGTGCGTATTGATGAAGAGAAGAAATACGAAGTAATAAACCCCTACAGTGTATGGATGGAAGGAAACGTTCATTGGGTGGTTTGGCTCCTACGTAAAATTAAATAAAATTGTAGAATAAACATTACTCGTTATTTCTCGTTTACCGCCTCTTTATGAAACGCGCTCTATGTTCATTTCACGCATATTCGATCACCCATTTTTTCTATTATTAGGCCTCCTATTTCTAGTTGCTCGTTTAACAACCGCTGACATCTTTTATCATAAAAATGGAAAATGCGGATCCATTAGAAAAGCGATCGAACTATTATATTGAACGCTTACGTCCTTTCACTTGCTGCTGGCATTTAAAAGAAACAAAGTTCATCTTTGAGGTTCCATAAGTCCCCAAAGTCCATTCTCCTGGATGTATTACGGCAAGGAATATGAGGTGTTACACGAATACAAAGGAAGTTTTAACGCCATAGCATTTAGGAGCTGGTGTCGCAAAATATCCGGCGTCGGAGTCGGTGGGACCAAAAAATCCCATAACGCAGCGCGCGCAGGCACGTGTGATGTCACACGTGCTGGAACGCATCGGCACGACACTGGGGCATTTCTAGAGCGTATTGTTCTCACCGAATGTTTCGCCAGTGAACTAAGACTCGTCGCCCACCCAACGAAACGCGAGGTTGCACGAGGCAAACATAGTAGAACCGGAAGTATTTTTTTCCGCCTGTCATGGCGGCCGGAAGTGGCGCGCACAACCTGCATAATGGACCTTTTCCGAGAAGCGTTCTGCGCACGCGCGAGCGCCCGATGCCAAGCGGTGGAAGTCGGCACGAAATATCGAGGAAATTCGGATTGAGGCTGTAGATCGACGAGTAGAACACGTAATTGCAGCGTATATATAATTGTGTTACACAAAAAAATAAAGTTGACGGAAAGAAAAACGCGACGTTTGGGTGGACGCTACGGATTTCCCTCTTTAAAGTCGCGTTGAGCACGCGACGCAGCTCAGAGAGCGAAGCGACTGGTAGCGTAGCTCCCATTCTCGATTGGTAGCGCAGGAAGATCACTTCCTCGATTTTTAGTTCGTGCAGCCACCGCCTGGTGCCGTCGGTATTTGGAAAAAGTCCATTATATGCTTTTACTGTTCTGCCGTGAGGATATCCACACTCCGTTTCACATTAAATCCGACCGCAACCTAAGCTACTTTACGAAGGAGTGAACCAAGCAGAGCAAAAAGTGCATCGTCATGACGCTCGTTGTTTTTGAGCGTTTCCTATGGTAGGCTAGCTGAAGAAGCCGCGCACAGTGAATGCGGAGTGATCCTACGTTTTATTTTTATGTGTGAGGGGTTTAAGCGGTAGTAGGCTCACAAAAACGAGGAACGACGTGACGATGCAATTTTGGCGCTCTTTGATTGACTCTATCGGCTCATAACATTGGCTAGGGCCCGACATGAAACGGAGGCTGGCTATGCTTCGTCTCACCCTACGATGGACTAAAGGCAAAAGCTACGAACCACCACATCCAATCACGAGCCACTTAGAAATTACCTGGTATTTCGCTTCAATGAACGTTACTGAGTGACTCATCAATTTTATATTGCAAAGCAAGCCACGACATACAGGCTCTTTGCAGTGTCGAAGCTATAGAAATGATGCAGCGCATTTTCATGAGGAGCATTATTCGTTCATCCTTAATCTATGTTAAGCATGTCATAGTTTATCGTGGAACGTGATTGGACATGGCTGCCCGTAGCTTTGGCCTTTAGTCCATCATAGGATGAGACGCAGTATAGGATACCAAGGACACATACAATTATTATAATTATCGTTATCTTAACTTTATAGTAACTCGACTAAAGACGAATTGACATCCGTGAAATTAAAAAAATAAACAAAAAGGAATTGAAACAGTATGGCGACGCGGGTGGGAGTAGGATAGATATGGCTAGAGGGAGAGCGAGGAAGAGTAGAAGCGGAAGAACAGAATATATGAGGATAGGCGGATGGAGAAGAAGGACAGACTGAGAGATATGTGTCTTTACACGGAAGACGCGTTTTCCGGGGTCTCATTTAAGCGCTGACACTGGAACGGCAGTTTGCGTAACAGCGGTCTAGGGTTTCCAAAGGTTTGCGCGACGTGACCGACCTTTTGTAGTGCATATGTCGGGCACTTCACGCTGTCTTCTAATCGCGTGTGTTTCCACCTGTCGTTGTGGATTTTCTGCGGATCCACTAAGAGCCCTTTGAGTCAAGATCGCAGCTGGCGTTAGTAGAAGGGACGGTCTGTTTATACGCAAAGCGAAAACTGAACAACCGCATACCTGTTTTCACGTGAGAGATGCCTCGAAAACGTTTTCGCAGCACTAACCATTCGATCCATCGAAAATGTGAGATGCCCAAGAGAAATTTAACTCCATGCCATGCAGCTACTTTATTTTATTTATTTATTTATTTATTCATTCATTTATTTATTTTTAGTTACCCTAAAGCCCTGCCCGCGGCCTGCGTCCAGCTTGCCCGCTGCTACCGGCCAGAAACACACGCGGCTATAAAAAACGGCACCGCGACGCGCTCCGACTACGCGAAAGAATATACCAGAAAGAACGAGGAACTGAATCGTAACGGGGATCTCTCGCCATGAGTGAACACTGCCATCACCAGAATCACCATTCTTAGTCCCCGGCCTTCATGTTTCTGTAACTCTGTTAAAATTCCTTTGCTTTCTTATCTACATTTTGTTAGCATTAGTTTTGATAACGTCCGTAAAGTTCGTCCAATATTCGCCTCGTCAGTTTCGTTTCTTAACTCCACCTTGCCATTAAAGGGATACTTCAACGAAATTTGAAATATTCCCGTCGTGTTCAAAAATAGGTTGAATATGATCCACAATATCCGTGAATGACAATCGCACGTTTGTATCTTGAGCCTGGTGGCTGTATTTTTCGTTATAAACGGCCCACTCTGCCAAGTGCTCGGAGAAGGCCCAGCTTAGAGCACGTGATATCCAACGCAACCGTGACGTAGGTCGTCTCAAGACGAGCAAAGCTACGACGAGGCTGACGTCGAGAGGATGGCCTAGTCGGTCCAGCCGCCGAAGCGGCTGCTTTTGTACAAATTTTGAGTGACGGGTTAATCTTCCATAATCTTCTAGGGGGACAATAGCGACTTCTGCCACACACAAAAGGGATTCTCGGGAAGAGGGGAGTTCCTCCTGCCCCTCTTCTCTCGTCGTGGCCGGAGGCGAGACAACCTCCGTCACTAGCTGCCAAGGTTGCTAGACGGGCATTAAAAGCGAGGCGTTAAAGACATCCACCAGGTGCTCTTTGCGAATAATATAATTCGCTTTAAAATTCCTTTTTGTGACTTTTTTAACAAGATATTGGTATGTTCGATTTGATGGTGCTTTTTTGAACACATATGGACCAAAAAATGAGCGCCGAAATTTCGTTGTAGTATTCCTTTAAAACTTAAAAACCCGTCGATTTTGTGCGGTTTTTCAGAAAGCCGTAAAACACTTCGCGTGCCTTCCATCGTTCTGCAATTTGTTGATTTAGTGTTTTTCGATGATACTGAGCAATTTTCTAATTGAAACCATGCCCTTAAACACAATATTAAAAGGTTAATTAGGCAAAAATAATTAACAAATTTATTATCCCGCACTTTAATAATTTTACTAAATGGGCCCCTAGCCCGGGACCAAAACGCCACAAGCCTTTTTTCACTGCGACGAGTAGTTTTCGCAAGAGCGATTTGGCCTGCGTTTCCTGAATGTATATATAAACATAGATAGATAGAAAAAATACTGTTCCGTTGGACGACGAAAAGATATAGGGCGTTTTTTAAAGCTTAAAAGAATTGTT